AAATAATGACAGAAACGAGATGTAAGCTTGAGGCATCTGCTTTAAACAACTAGGCACATTACTCGAGAATCCTGTTATGCGAATTATTTGTGCAGTTTTCTAAGAAAGAAACACTCTTTTCACTGATTTATTTCTAAAAATAAACTGCGTTCGAATGACGACGTGTCTGATTTATTGTGACGGGCTTGTGAATGTATATTTCCATTAAATAGTTGCCGTGTAACGAACGGCCGTGGGACGAAGATCGCTTTTGCGCTATAGAAATTATTGTCGTCTATCAACTAGATCAGAGACGATCAAAATGTGGAAACTCTAAGGAAGTGTTTTATAGATATGCAAGTTTCTTACGAGAACAGTAAGGATTTAACAAGTTTACGGTTTAGGGACGCATCATAACCGGAAAGTTCATGATTTACATAAGTCTCTTCGTGTTGTTAAGGTCTCGAGACGAAGAGGATGCGACAAGATGCATGTGCTCTGGATGTGAGAGGAGAAACTACGTATGTAAATTTAGTGGGGAAACCGCTTCGAAGACGGCGTGATAAATTCTTAGATGGTATTAAGTAGTATATCAGGGAGATGGGAGGGGGTTATGGAGAGTGTCTAGCCGTGGTATGGAAACTTCGGGTTTTGCCACTGGAGTTATGATCAAAAACTGAGATCATCGGTAAAAGGAAAAGGTAGTATCCAGATAAACACACCTGCACAAGTCACGGCTATGCCCCATCGCAACTCGTTTCTCTGGTCGTGTCACATTTAGTCTTGTTACGAGGGGTGCGCACAATAGTGGCCTAAGGGACTGGAATAGATTTGGTAGGCGGAACCCCCTAATTTCTGGGGCGAAAATAAAAAAAAATGCGCAATGCGACGGAAGTATGTGAGGACTTAAACTTTGTAACGTGATCGCCTTCCGTGTAAAGACAGACGGGAAACTAGAAAGCGAGGCGTAAGCAGTGGTAACTAGTTTCGATCTGAAGAACCAGTTCCTGAAGCTGTGTATGTCTCGCCATTCGATTTCGATTCCTTGTAATCTCAGGCCATAAAGACCGCGTCCTTCCGGTGTAACTGGTGCGAACCATTGAACACCGAAATTAATTTGGGTCATTTACAGTAGTCATCTCACGCACTCATTTTATACGGACAGCTTTTGAATAAGTCTGAAGATGGAGGTAGTATGTTCCTCGGAATCGTTGATAGCTTCTCTGTCTGCAGGTTCATGCGACGTTACTAACCAGAAGACCAACATCAATGTCTTCACCGCTGTGATAACCTATAATTTCATCCATTATAATTATCTGCGCTTGAGTCTGATCTCCCTACTGAAACCCCAAATGTCTGTCTTAGACGCGAGAAGTATTCGTCTTTCATTTAACAAGGTAGAATGATGGAGTTTTGGAATGCATACAAAATGTTGGTGGAGAAATGTCTTCAGAAGAGCCCACTTGGAAGACCAAGAAGGGGAGGGAGTGTAACGTCGCCACACTCCAAAACGTAAAGTTCTATTACAACAAAAAACAAAGTACCACATAAATGTTGCTGCTGAATGTCGGTCCCGACCCTATTTGCAATAAAGTCCCGAAACTACGTGCGTTACTAAGCAACGCTTTCGTTGCTAAGTTCGTAGGGCGTACGAGCGAGAACGTAACTCCACCGGTTGTGTCTGTAATTATGATTAGCTTCATGCGGTGGATATCATCTACGGAAGCTGATAGTCACTCACCTCAATTCCCCGCCTTTTTTGTGGAAAGCGAAGGTTCATTGCCGTGTTCACTAGAGCCCGACACTGGAACCTATCCTGAGCCAGATGAATCCAGCCCACGCCATCACATCCAGTTTCTCGAAGACGAATTTTAATATTATCCTCCCAGGTCCGTGTAGGTCTCCCTTCAGGTCTTGCGACCAACACTGTATACGTGGACGCAGGTTATGGCTCGGGTAACGGGTGTCAAGACGTTTGTTTGAGCTCTTGAAGACCTCCGTTACTATTGTACTTGAGACCCTGAGGCTGAAGGGGGGGGGGGGGGGGG